TGTTCTTTTCAGTGTTGAACTTGTGGTTCCAGTTCACTTTGTATAGATTATTAAACACCGGCTCTCTTCTACAGTGTGTCTTTGTCCTGTCCAGATCGACAAAGGATGAAGATAAACTGCGCCAGAGGTTTCATCCTGTAAAAAGGGAGATTTTCCTTCCCACTGTCACCAAGTACTTGCAGGAGGTGATCTGATTGTTGGGATTTCTCACTATTATTGTGGGGTCTTTTTACTTTATAAAGCACCTTGAGGCAACTGTTGTCATTGTTTGCACAACATAAATAAAACGTGTCTCAGTTTTGCATCAGTAATCGATGGATGAATTTCTTCCAACCTCAAAACTCTCACTTCCAATCGCATTCTTCCTATGAAGGATAAACCATTGTTATTCCCTGAGCTATTCAAGCAAAATGGTCCTTGAAAAGAGGAGAGAAGATCTTTTCAGGGAAAAGATGGGCTTTGTTTCAACAACATCCTAAGTGGAACCTAAAAAGATGAAGTTGGGTTCTTGGAGATTTTATATTTGAGGCTGATGTTGCATTTCCTCGTGGCTCTTGAGAGATTTCTGGAAACCTTCCGAAAAAGGCTGAGAGCAATCAGCGTGTCTTTATACAAAGACAGACATCTTTAAACATGTGACTAAGCTATCATTTCCATGGGAGGCTACAAACTCTTAGGGGCAGTTGACAAATAGTGACCTCAGACAAGGTTATGTCATAGTCTGTTTCATCTTGATACGTTTCTATATGTGGTATGTGTATTTTAGCTCCTTATTTTTGAGTAGTAATTCAATTTCTATGTCTGCCTGCTGAACAGAATTATCTTTTTCTCTGCTGAGTCCATTGTGCTTGTGTGTGAAGTGGTATGTGTTACCTGTGGTATTTTCTCTTTTCTATTTTGTTTCCAGGGAAACAAAAATGTGAAATAGTATTTTTGCACCAACAGGGTGATTCCCAAGTTTTATAACCAGAATGGCTTGTTGTGCATTATGTCCATAAAAAAGTTTGAGGCAGACAGAAGGAGAAGTAGTAGGCTCAAAAACCTCTCTACAGTAGTTGAACAGTATCTGAAAGTCATGTCCTTAGAGAAAAAGAAAGATAGCAGAGACAGCAGATAAGAGATGGGTATTGTATTATCCCTTGTTTTCTGAATTCCCATTTTGATATAGTTTTGCTATCACTTACTTAGTTGTGAGAAAAGAGTGGTTTTGAATTAGAAACCATCTGCTCATTGACTAAGGAGATGTGTTTGACATGCCATGATCAAGATATATAAAATATATTTAAGTTTTCTTTTCAGTATGACACAGAATGAATGACTAAGACTATCAACTCAACAGGAACCTTTTGCAGGGGTCAAATCAGAAAGCCATATTCCCATAGATTTCTATCAGATTGGAAGTATTTCCAGCCATAATTGTCGCCATCGTGGTGTCTTCAGGTGGAATGCATGTTTAGCCCATATCTGCATTGGCTTCATTTTTCCACCTAGAAAGCTATGTCAGTGTCTTTTTACTGCCTGTGATCTGGTCCAACAGTTAATCCAGCTACTGTTCACTGAAGCCTCATCAGAAATGGTGTCAGTGGAAGGATGGCCATCACATTATGTCCTTAATTTTAAACTTTGCCAATGTCTGTTTTATCCTATAAAGTTATCCCACTTCAGTTATTTTTGTACAGCAAAATGAGATTTTCAAGCATACAGAGTTATCACTAAAACCTGCACTCTGATATGGGGTCAAGTTGGTTGTTACTGTAGTGGTGCATGTTTGTATTATTCCCAGAGTATTTTAATGTATTTAAGAAAATACTAATATTTTGTGTCCCTGTGTCCATACAATATTGCTAGGCAAAATATCTTGATGCTATACTGTGTTGATTTTTCCCCCAACTCTTATGAGGATGCCTTCAGAGGTGTGTAAATGTCAATTATTTAACCAGTGCTCCACACAACAGGATGTTTTGATCATGGTCACAGCAGAACCCGAGTGTCTTTCAGGTTGATTTTTTGTGTGTGTTGCAAAGTAAAGTCACTAATACCTGCAAGGTGCAAATTACAATAAATAAGTTAACAATAAAAAGTTATATCACTGTCATTAAATGTTTATCTCCCGCTATTGTTTTGACAGTTCTCTTTTGTGCACTATGTTTTACCAGGTCACATATTGAAAATGTAACATTCACAGCACAAAAGGTTTCTTTTTTTAAACTTTACAATTATCCTAAAAGATAATGTGAAAAAAACCCCTCAAATTGCAGAATACAAAACAGTAACCTAAATCCAGATTGCGCTGATATTTTGGGCAAAATTATGATATGCAGTGAAACCCAGAGGACGGTATTGTCTATTCAGTTCTATTTCAACATCTCTCATACCTTTCTTTAACACATGGCTGCTTTCGGTGAAAAACACCTGAAAAACTGACAGAAAGAAAATCTAAGCTATTCACTAGTGAGGATACTGAAGCATTTTGCTGCAAAGTAACAGTAACATGATTGAAAGGAGAACTCCAGAATGTGAATGTGGAATTAGACATACACCACTGTGAGTAAGTGGTAACAAATACATTAATTAATTATGTTTTTATAGAGAGATCAGCCACTTTAGGCAGATACAAACATGTTTTTCATGAGTTGAATTATACTTCATCCTGATTCTGTTAACACTCATTTTTCCAGAAATTCTTGTCATACTTGGAACATTTTGGTATGATAAAGTGAGCTACCTTTGCTGCTCTAACGGTCCCTCTGACTTCTCTTTCCTCCCTGTCTCAGTTAGCACAATGTGAAGAGCCTAATAAGCCTGCCTGTTGGCACTTAGCGCACCTGAAAATAGCATTTCCCTGTTTACGCGCAGCACTGCTCTTCTCACAGTCTTAGATCCACCAAGAGCCCACTGTTTGGCAACACACAGCTGCTGAGATGCAACAACTCTGCATTGTTAATTTGTCTGACCTTTTGTTTTATCTAGCTGCAGAGTGGGAGGCGACCAATCTGAAGAAAGTGGAAGAAGCTTACGAGACAGTCAACATGGAAATAAGGTGAGGCTAAAAAAGAAAGCAACAGAGGCAGAGGTTAGCGCCTACTGCGGCATACGTGTGGCTAAATCCTCAACATTTTGCACTTTTTGCAGATGAGGCATTTGCCTCTCACAGTTTTTGTTTTTTGATTGCAAGCAGGAGCGTGACTGTAATTTCACCAAGCCTTAAAATAGACTCCATCCTTCTGTGCTAACATAGTATGGAAAGAAGCACTGTGGTGAATATGCACTGTGTGATAGCTAAGGCTAATGCTAATGAAGAAAAACAAACACTATTGGCTGTCTTCTGTACTTTGCTGAGTGGTTCTCTTCTGACTTAGTGTGAGCAGAAGAGTCTCCGTCTGGCTGGGAATTACCCACAATCCTCTCTGGCTTTTTAAAGAGAGAAATTGCAACTACTTTTTAGTAAAGAAAGAAACGATTTTATAGGATTCATTCTGCTCTTCACTCTTCTGTCATGCTTACAACAGCTGAGGAGTAAAATCCACGCACAATTTCTTTTGCTCCCTCTCAGATGTTTTCACAGAGCTCAGAGCCAGCCAGCAATTGCTGATAAGTAGCTTCTGTGGCCCTGAGGCCCCCAAACTGTTCATTGCAGTAGGGAGAGAGGAGTGCCAACTACAGAGGTGGCACTTACCAAAAGGTCAGCCTTTTTTCCCCTCAACCAAACACTTGCATGAGAGAGGAGGAGGAGAAGGAGGAGGGTGGATGCAGGGGGACAGGAGCTGGCATGACTTCATTTGTTCTAATTATTCATTGTCCACCTTGCTTTAATTGCCTCTAGCCAAATTACTCACTGTCATTTGTGTTTGAGGACTCGGATGTGATTTTCTCCACCGTGTCCCGGCCTTGCGCATTTTTCTCGCTCATACCTTTTAGAAGTCACATGATATCGAGGTCTACTTCTAATTAGTCCATACATTTTGCGCTGAAGAGAGTAATTTCCACAAAAATTGACTCCGCGCGTGAATGTTACGACCCCTGCCCCGCCGAGAATCACACGCGCACACGGTTATGCAACCTGCATCGCTTTCCTGACCCCGAATCGTCCCCCTACCCCCTGCCTTATCAACCTCAAGCGGAACAATCACCCTCCCTAAACATTTGTTAACCCCATTAGCAATTCTGGGTTATGAATATGGAAATGAGGGCCTGTGTGCCGTTAGAGATAGGGCTCACTTGCCTTATTTGCGATTAGCGAAGAAGAGCAGCCCTTACCGGCTCGGATAATTAGAGACACTGCATAGAAATGGGCTTTAACGGGCCACCTCATCAACACACTATCCGAGACGTTAGTCGCTAGAAGGAGCAAGGAAAATAAAGCTACTTTGTCAGCACAGTTGTGAGTCATGCAGAAGTTATTAAAGCAGCCTGTCAGGGAGTGACAACAAATTGAATTGAAGAGTGTTGTCTTAAAACATAAAAAGGATTCTGTTCATGTTTAGTTAAAAAATCATTTTTCATGGATTTCTTCTTAAATGATTTGTTTAAAAATACCATGAGTTTTGAAGAGTGTTGTCTTTCCTGATGGAACTTTATGTAATCTGTATTGTAACTTCCAAAACTAGCTTCAAATGTGCTTCTGATCTGTGTTTCTGTGTATTTTGGTTTCCTCAGTGACTTACAGAAGAAGTTGGCCATAGACTACGGAACAGACTGGGAATTTCTGTTTTTGAATGGCCAGTGTTACAAGCTGAAAGTATATGAGTAAGTACTGACAGACCCGGAGTGCTTCTGCCTTTTCTTGAACAGTCATGTGAAAAACCAAGTGCACCCTAATATCATCTTGCTTTATCAGACTCTCATATTGTCGTGGAGGAATTTTGCCCCACTCTTCCTTACAGAGTTGCTTCAGTTGTTCTTTGAGATTTGCGGGCGTTAGTTAGCATTTGACCTTAGAACACTTTGGTATTCAGAGGACTTCACGGTCGACTCTGTGTGTGTATTGTTTTTATATTGGAGTCTTTGGGAGCCCAGCTGCCAGTGGGTTGAAGGTGGATTTTAGATTTTGTCTAGTAACTTTTAAACCGTGTGCCTTCTTTTTTATTGTTGGAGGCCTTGGATCAGGGTGAACTGAAAGCATCAGTGACATAGAGTATATGACTCACGTATTGGTCTTTTATATGACCATGCTCTAATGTATGAAAACCTGACTTGGTGCATAGATCCGTGCAACCTTTTACAAAGCACAAAATGTGCACCGTGCAACCATTTTTCATTGTAATAACGTTTCCTGTCAACAAAACGAAGAATCGTTTTATCTGGTAACAGAAAAAAAACTAGCTGTCGTTTCGTCCTAAGGCTTGAGCCTCAAGCCTTATTTTATCAGTGTCGACACCAAACGTGGCATCCCATCCTATGGTTGTCCTGTCAGTGCTTGTAACATTTTGTAACACGATTGAAACAAGGTGTCATTGCACCTGTGCTGGTTGTATCTGTTTGGCCTCTGCAGTTAAAAAGCTCAAAGCAAACGCTACATATTAAAAATCATGTTTCGTTGTTGCAGCGCACTTGTCACGATTAAAGGCTGTTACTTGAAACATTAAAGCCTTTAACACTTTGCTTTTATTACTTGTGTTTTACCTCTGTGCTGCAGTTGAGCGTAAACTCCCTGGATGTGGAAGTCAGTCTGTTTTCAAGAGAACTCGCAAAAATCAACTTCTTGTCTTGCACAACTGTATTAAAACAAATTGTGTCTATAAGGAATGTGAACCATCTCGTAAAGATCCACCATTTAAGATTGATAATTTGTGAGCTCCAAGTCACCCTGGAGAAGCCAAGCAGCTAAATCAACTAAATTTAATCAACAGAATGAGCTTCTTTTACTCTCTCCTGCTGCATCCCTATGGCCCCTGCTGGGGTAGAATCTGTTCTCCTCAGGATTGCTTGCCAGCTGGAGCTTTAGAAGTCTGTGGGTGGTTGCAATTTTGAAAGAAAATTATCTGAGATCTGCACTAAGAGATCTGCACTGCAAATACATTTTCAGACATCCTTGGAATCAGTGGTTTTCCCATGCCCTTATACACCAGTGTGATTTGTTTGCTTAGTTTGCCATTTAGGAGGCAAAATCTGAAAAGCAAAGATGAACTTCTTGCATGTAAGCCAGAAGAGATTCGTCTTAGGGTTTTTACATTACATGATAGTTTTACATAACGATATTTTACACTGCTTGAAAAATGGTTTAATTTCATGCTAAAGGGATGGGAAGGTGGCTCCTATATTATTTATTGAGCTTTACCACCGGAGATCCAAAAGAGCCTAAATGACCAAAAGACATACGTGAAACAAGCCATGAGAGTTTATGGCATAGGCGATTATCAGTCACATAACACCCAAAGGCTACAGCAAAGGTTTAAGGAACAAATGAAAAATGTGTGTATTTCTTCAAATTAATCTCTAGTTGCCTTTTAATAGTTCTAAGATCACTCAGCTTAACTGAATATAGTGTTTGCTGCAGCTAAAATAACATAAAAAATTTAAATTAATTAATAAATAAGATCATCCACTTCATGGAAGCCCCTAATGCTACTAGCATAGTTAGCTAAGATGAGAATGTTAAAACCTTTTTTTCTTAAATTTAGGTAATTTTACTTGCTGGATCCTCAAGTCACAGCATTCGTTAGTTTTCTTATTAAAATTTTAAAACTAAAACTTACATTTTGAAACCTGTCGTGTTTGTTATGCCTAACGTCGACTTTCGCTTTGCTGAAGTAAAATAAATGTTCCATGTTGTACTTAGACTATTGGGTGTAACTAGCTCTCATCTCCAATTAAAGATCATTATTTTATGCGTCTTTGACAGACATCAGCCTGCAACCTGTAGTGTATCATATGTAGCCATCAAATTCATGTTATATCTTTGAACTATTCTCATTAAATATATGTCATCTGCTATCATTGAAACGCCTCAGTGCCATTATCAGTGGCAAAATTATCAGTACCAGTAAAACAATTTCTGCTCTCACAGCCAAAAGAAAGAGGGGACGGATTATTTTTGCTCATATTTTGACTCCAATTCTTTGCACATTTATCAAGTTAGCCTATTTCTCTCAGTCTCACACCCTCAGCCTTTTGCACAGAAACCCGTAGTATGCTCTCCCTGGCCTATTGGCATCTTACATTCTGTTATTTTTCATCCTTTAAACCACCGAAGAGCACAACATCTACTTGCGTCAACTCAGTTGACCTACCAGCACCCTCTCTCCAATGTACCAGTTCCCCTCCCTGCCCCTCTTTATCCTTGCTGTTTGCCTTGAACCGTGATCCTGAAAAGACATGACATTGACAGACACATAAACCAACAGCTTTCTATAACTCTCCCTCCCATGCCCTCAAGTAGCAAAGCTACAATTCCTCACCAATGATGGAGCAGAATAACACACTTCTCTTTCCCGCTTCTTGATCGTCGGTTGAAACCGTCTTACAAGCGCCCTCCTGGTGTTCAGATCTCTCACATTTGATTAAATTGCTCCATCCTTTCTTGAGTGGCAGCCAATATCGAAGATAAATGCCCGAAGCCATAAAAGTTTGCTGTGCTGAAATGTTGCCTGTCTTTAATATGACTAATAGCTGTGCATTATTTAAATGGATGGGATTCAGTTGGTGCTTGGGTGGGGTTTGTGTAGGGAGATGATAGCAGTTGATGAGACGACCCCATTGAGACTAAACTCTATAAACTGGATTTGGTCACGCTCGTATGTTGCATTCAGAGCTTGTTATTAAAAGTGAGTCTCATCTGTATTGGAAGGCGCCAGCCGAGATTTCTGCTTTCTTCTTTGTAAATGTGGGCCCTCTTTTCTTTCTTTTTTCCTGAGACCTCTGCATCGTCGCCGCCTTGCCTCATGATGGTGTGAATCGTTTGTGCAAACTAGGGCTTGAAGGCCTTTCTTGTTTGTCCATGGGAGAAAAAAATATATAATTACTTTGATTTCAAAGTAGGAGAGAAAAGAAAACAGTCTTTTGTTGTGAAACACTTTCAAGTGGAATGATTAACTGTGAGATTGGAAGCTAAATGCTGTGTAGTAGCACTCTCCACATTGCCTTCTCATCAGTTTCTCTGAAGACTCTAAACAAAACGAATAAAAGCTTACAAAGAGAACTTATTCTTGCCGCATTATCATTTAATGGCCTTTATTGCTACACTCCCAAGCCCCTCTCTCCAGACCTGAGGCTCCTCTTTTTATATTACATCACATTCAAAGTACTGTACTGAAGTTTACCTCCAGAAATTTAGCCATTAAAAAGTCCACGTATTTTCGCCTGAAATTGTCTTTCTGTCGAGGCCTTATCACAAGTCGGGAATTTAAAACGCGAGCTTCTGCCGGCGAATCCAAAATAAGCCTGGCAATTCAGTCAACACAGCCTGGCACAGCATGAAGGGAGACACCCCATAATGAGTTCTCAGAGGCGGAGTCCCTACCTACAGCAGAGTCTAATATTCCTCCTGTGGATTTGTTGACACTCCTCAAAGCAACTTAAATCGAAGGCCCGTGATTTATGCAAGACTGTCAGGTCAGATTGACTCAGCCTCCGCTCTTGTGTCATTAGAAAGTACAGCTCTTCAGTGAGTCATGCCTGCCACTGTTGTTCAGCTTTGACAGAGAAAGAGAGAAGGATAACGCAGCACAAGTGACACTTCCAACTGTCTGCAGAACATCACATGGTCTTAACAGTTCACCGGGTTCTTCCAGTGAAGAAAGGGAATTCACCAGGATAGCCTAGAGGGAGCTGTTTTAAATTGGATCTAAACCATGGCAATGCGGGTGGTGTGGAGTCCTAGATGTGTCTGCTGAGCGTAACATGGAAATGAAGAGCCATATAGATTTATGAAGTAGATTTTTTAGCGTCTTAGCACAAATATTGTCTAGTTGCAAATTGGGTTTGACAGGACCAGTGGGCTTTTTTAGACAGTAAACTATTTGCCGTCTGCCAGTGGACATCAGCGAGATGCTAGAAACAGAAAAGCTAATTTCAGAAAGTATTTTTGCTGCAAATCATTTGCCAGTCATTCACTGTACTGGTCTTTAACATGAAGCATGGCAGCCTGTTGCTTTTCTAGCAGATACACTGAAGAAACCACATGAAAACCTTCTTTGTCCCGGCTTATAAAGGTGGCAGAAAGGCAAAAGTTGCGGCTAACCTAATCGGGATCTTGTTAAAATGTGCTTGTGCTGCCACAGCTTCATAAGCAGGTCCATGCCTTGGAGCACGAGCACTTCGTCAGACCCTTAGTTTTTAAATGATGATAGATGTGCCACAGATGCTGTTGTTACATTAAAGCATGAAATTTAACATCACTCTTAGGGAGCTGCTCATGCGGTTAATTAACTTCAAAAGGTCACGTTTGTCCAACTGTCAATAACTACGGAGGCAGAAGGATTGCTCTCGTCTGCTTAAAGATTTGCATTATGCAGTGTCAGAGATGATAGAATTTTAAAGCTTATATCTTTAAGCAGACAGCTGAAGATAATATACAATCACCAGCCAGTTTGAACGTGGCATAATTGTTGGTACCAGATGAGCTGGTTTGAGTATCTCAGAAGCTGCAGATCTACTGGGATTTTCCCACAAAACCATCTCTAGAGTTTACAGGAATTGGTCTGAAGGGAAAACGTCCTGGAGAAAATGCCTTGTTGACGTCAGAGGCCAAAGGAGAATGTTTTGAGTTAGCAGGAAGGCAACAGTCGCTCAAATAACCACTGGTTACA